TATATATTTATATATGTATACTTTTACTGATGTTTAAAAGGTCTATAATTTTAGTATTATCCTTGTCCTTTATTGTTTTCCTCTGAATTTTAAAAAAGCTAGGCAAATTTTATAGGCCTCCTCTTGATAATTTTCTGAATAACCATGAAGTGGAATTCTAAGTAGCTGACTGAAGTCAGAAAGAATTTGTGCAGGCACTTAGAACTCCTCATATCCAGCATAGATTGAGATGACAGTATATAATACTTCACCAGTTTAAGGAGCAAGAGACTATCATATATACTTTGCAGCTTAAGCTGATAACAAATTTCTAGTTGTTTGTTGACATTAAAATATTAAAATTGACTTGGGACACAGTTGTAGGTAAAGATTGTATTTACAGATATTCACCATGGAGTATATTTAAAGGAGCAATAATACTGGTTTTAATTATGAAATTAAAATACTTTTGTAGTATCTTTCTATTTCACTCCTAAAGTGATCTCAACATTTCAGCATTTTGATCTATTTCATTATAATTTTATTTTATATTTTAAAAATTATTCAGCAGAATTTGTTAAATAAGTGTAAAATTTAAAGCAGAAACACAACACATTTTCAAACTTATTCGAAAGAGCATAACAGTGAGTGCATCGGAAGATCTCTCAGGAGGAAAGGTATAGGAGGAGGGTGTAAGAAAACTGTAGTTCTTTCCTTCTGGTTGCACAGGCTGATGCTTTGCATGTGCTCTAGCTTATGGGACATGATACTGGCTGCACAGTTCTTATTGCATTCTCTTTGAGTGCTTGGATAGTGAAAAAGGCATAGTAGTATATTTACCATAAACAGAATGTTACATTCTTCTTATATGTTCACTTGTAAATCCATTTCATGTGAAGTACTCTACCTTTTATGCTGTCTTTTAGTCCTCTCACACAAATTGTTTCTTTTCTTGTTCAGATGTTTTTGTAACCTTTTTCTTTTGCTGTCATTTGTCCTTAATGCTTTCCTTCTTTCTTTTTAATTTTCTGCTTCTCATGTGGAATAGAAGAACAATAAAAATGTGAAACTGAAAAGAGATGGTAAGGGTGGGCTGAAAAACAAGGATTCTGATTTAATGAAGGAGGCCTCAAAAATAGATTCTGGCTTTTTACAAAAGCAGTCTTCGCTTTCAGAGTCACCAGGACAAGATTTAGAAAAAAACAGTGCCTTTGTAGGAAAGCCTGTGGCCAAAAAAAATCCAATGAAAAGTAAATCTGAGCATGCACGAAGTGTTAGTACTTTAAAAAGTAATGTTCAACAAATTACTAGGGACAAATTCAAATTAGTGAAAAGGGAAAAAGAATATGAGGAAAATCCTGAATTTGTCAAAGAGGATGTAACTTCTAATCTGCCCACCGAGAAACAAATTCCGACTGAAAAAATAAGTTCTTCCAATAAAAAGTCAAAAGCTGTTAAATCTAAGCAATCCCTTAAAATAAATGTACTTCCCTCTGCATCTAGGGATCAGCCTCAGACTGGTTCATTAATTGTACAAAATTACAATCCTGTTAATAAGCAAGTAAGCCAAGAAGCAATAGAAAGTCAAAACAAAATAAAAGATGTTGTTGAAAAATCTGATAAATGTGAAAGAATATGTGTTAGAGGAGAAGAAAAAAGTGAAGAGCAGAGAGGGTTTAAAAAAAAGGATCAATTTTTGAAACAAATAGCTATAACTATGTCATCATCTTCAACTGAGGAAAGTAGCCATGATCTTCCAAAATATGTACTTAAAAGTAAGGAAAAAGAAGAGGTCTACTATGAAGGCAGAGAGGTCCAGAAAGCAATAAAAACAGTAGGAAAAGTGAAAGGTTTGGGCTTAGAAAAAGAAGTCAGTGAGATTGAGGAGATGCAAGCTACAAACAATACGAAAGAGTATGTAGAAGAGACTGAGGTAAAAAGCCTGAATGGGGAAGATGCAAACTCTGAAGCTAAATCTGATGAAGACAGGCAGTTAGAAATTAAGAATGAGGAGGAAACTAATCAAGAGCAGGAGAGTGAATGTAGTGAAAAGGAAAAACTAGATGAAACGTCTGACAGTGAAGATGAACTATGGAAGGAAGATGAAGAGAGTGAGGTTGAAAAAGGTAGAGATGAAGTTTCAGTAGAAGGAGATGAAGAGGAAAAAGATAATGAGGAAGAAAACAAAAGAGAGGTATCACAGGCTGAAAGAGACAGTGGGAATGAGGGTGGAGAGGAGACTGAAGAGAGTAATCAGGAAGGTGGGAAAGAGCAAGGAGATGAGGGAGGCAGATTGATGGAGGAAGAAGAAACGCTGAGTGAGGGAGAAAAGGAGGATATGGAGGAGGCATGTGCAAAAGAAGACACTGAAAAAGAAAAGGAGGAACAGGTCAAAAGTGAGGGGAATGATGAGAGTGAGGATGAAGGTGAAGATAGAGAGAGGGACGGAGAAAAAGAGGTAGAGGCAGAAGAGGAAGGAGAAGATGAAACTGAAAATGGAGAAGAAAACAAAGAAAATGAGAGTGAAAAAGACAAAAAGGGTGAAGAGGAGGAGTTAGAAGAATCATTGTCAGGAAGGGAAGATGAACAGGAAGAGGCAAATAGGAAGACTAAGGAAGTGGAGGAGCATGGAGTGGAAGAAAGAAAAGAGGGGGAAGGTGAAGTGGAAGAGGAAAGAGATGAGGAGGAGGAAGAGGAAGGAGCAGAAGCAGAAGCAGGAGGGGAGAAGAGGGAAGAAAATGAAAACAAGGAAGAAGAGAAGTGGAAAAATGAAGAGGAGGATGAGGAAGAAGAAGAGGGAGAAAGGGTGGAAGAAGAGGGAGTAGGAGAGGAAGAAGAAGAGAGAGTTGAAGAAGATGAGGGAGAAGAGGGAGTTGAAGAGGGAGAGGAAAAAGAGGAAGTGGAAGAAGAAGAGGGAGAAAAGGAAGTGGAAGGAGAGGAAGAAGAGGGAGTGGAAGAAGGAGAGGGAGAAGAGGAAGTGGAAGGAGAGGAAGAAGAGGGAGTGGAAGAAGGAGAGGGAGAAGAGGGAGTGGAAGAAGGAGAGGGAGACGAGGGAGTGGAAGAAGGAGAGGAAGAGGAGGGAGTGGAAGAAGGAGAGGAAGAAGAGGGAATGGAAGAAGGAGAGGGAGAAGAGGAAGTGGAAGAAGGAGAGGGAGAGGAGGAAAAAGAGGAAGAAGAGGAAGAGGAAGGGGAGGAAGAAGAAGCGGAAGAGGGAGAAGAAGGAAAAAGGGAAGAGGGGGAGGAGGAACAAGAAAGGGAAGAGGGAGAGGGAGAAGAAGAAGAGGAAGGGGATGTGGGAGAAGAAGAAGAGGATGAGGGAGAGGAGGAAGGTGAGGAAGAGGAAAAAGCAAAAGGTAAAAGAAAAAATTATAGTAATAAGCTTCAACAAAAGAAAAACAAAACAAAGAAGCCAGAGAAGACGGAAAGTGCCGCTTTACCAAACAGCTCTAAACAAAAAATTAAGTCCAAACAGCATGTAGCAAATGGTTTACATAATTCAGAACAATTTTGGAACAATGTGCTACCTCATTATTTAACACTAAAATAGCATGGACGACTGGAAATGCATTTTAAGCCTATTCAGGAAACTTTGGAACTATGGCAGATTGATTTTTATTACTTAATTTTTTTGGTAATGTATCAAAACACTTTATTATATATTATAATATATAATATATAATA